TTCTATAGTGCAATTTCAAGACAGACCACAGGCTTCTAAAAACTTTTACCTCACTCTATCAATCGGGGCGCTACATGAATTAACATATCTGCAGAATCATATGAATGGTCTCTACTTGGAACCAATGATGACTAATGAATGGATTACTTGTTGGGGAGATGTTCAGTTTCGGCCCAAGAAATTCACCAACTTCTTCTTCAGAGAACTGCAGCCACCCGCATACATCACAATGATCTGGAAGACAAAGTGTATCATGAAACTTAAAGTGTTCACCTGGCTGATGTTAATGAACAGAGTCAACATAAGAGACATGCTCCACCGGAGACATTTTGATATTGGAGTCACTCCTGTCTTTTGTGCAACACCACACCACTGGAAACGAACAAACACCCATTCTTTGAGTGCACCTTCAGTGCGGTCTATTGGAACTCCATCAATATTCAATGGGATACCAACTTGGAACTTCAGGAGATGTTTGATGCAGTGAAGTCTTCATGGCCACACCCATTGTTCAATGCAATCAAAGTCCCGGCCGCCTGGAACATTTGGAAACAAAGGAACATATGCTACTTTGACAAGATTACTGCATCCCTGTATGATTGGAAAAGAGCACTCAAATCTGAATTGGAAAATCTTAAATTCAGAGTTAATCCTGAATTGGTCTCCTTTCTTGATAGCTTCATCCCAAACCTATCTCTGTAAATCATAGTTCCTTTCTTTTTATTTGCTTCTTGGCCATGTAATTACCCAGTACTTTATTTTGAGTAATATATAATAGTAGGAGACTCCTGTTGTTTTCAATGTTCAAAAAAAATTAATTCCCGCAAAATATCAGGAATGTTGTTTTTAGCTTGATTCACATGATATTTGAGTAAGTATAATAAAAACTTCTTCGTTAGCTTATATACACATCTTGCACAAGCAACGTGTAACGGAGCTTCATGTTGAAGGACTTAAAATGTGCAACGAAAAATACTCATGGTGTTAACCGGACGAAATAATTCTTTACCATTCCACCAGAGCATAAAAAACATAATAGCCAGACACATTCCTGCATTTCCTAAATTAGTACTCCCTCTGTAAACTAATACAAGAGCGTTTAGAACACTATTTTAGTGATCTAAACGTTCTTATATTAGTTTACAGAGGGAGTATTATTTTAAATATAGTGATAACAAAAATAAATGTTGATACTTTGAATGTAGAAGGTTTTGTAGTACATTTCTTGGAACGTTACAAAATTCTATGGTTTCCGGTTTTTCCCCTCGCTCACTTACTCACCCACTCACCCAGTCGCCTCTTCACGCTCATTCCCCTCGCTCACCCACTCCACCAAATCCCTATCCCGCGGCGGCGACGCACCTCCCCCTCACTCGCGTCGGCGAATCAACCGCGTCGCCGCCCTTCTCCTCAGGCGTCGCCGCCGGGCCTTCTCGTCTGCGTCATCTCTCCCTCTCGCCTGCATCCTCAGCGCCACAGTCGAGCCAAAGTTGGATATTTTAGCGAGGTCGAGTAGGAGCGTGAGAAGCGCGGGCACGACGGCCTTGTCCTGCTCGAGGAAGGCGGCGACGGATGCTAGCGCTCCTCGCCGCCATCGACCTGCAAGGAGGAGCGCCGTGTTGGACGCTGCCATCTCCGACGCTGCTGGTACTCCTCCGTCGCTACGAGTGCCCTGTCACCTGCACCCAGGTCAGCTGCGAAGTCGAGCTCCCCATGCTTGACCTGCAAGGTTATCATCCTTAATTTTCCCCACACCTTTCCAATCTCTAGAGCCTAGGATTCGGGGAAAGGCAAGGAGAGATTATGGAGCTGATTGTGATTGTGATTGTTGATGTGGATGGAATATGGATGTAGATGTACTGTGGTCAAGAACTGCTCTCTGCCGCGGGAGTAGATTGGAAAGGCTGCTGCTGCCACTACCACTCGCCGATTCGGGCATGGTAAAGACCACTCGGTTGCACTACTCCATGTGTAGATGACTGAACTTGGGTGTGAGCATTTTGATGCCTCTGAATTTAGTAAATTCAGTACTCACAGGAGTACATTCCCCCTAGAGTATTTGTACTACAGGAGTACTTTCAGTACTGTAGTAGTACTTGTATTGTTTCTTAGAGTATTTGCTTGGAGTAAATATTGTAGTTTAACTGAAATCAACATTTCTGAAAATCATGTTTATCAATGGGTTGTAAGTACTGAAATCAACATCTCTGAAATCATGTTTTTCATGCTGTAGTATTCTTTTTGTCAGGATTTTAGTACTCTTGCTTGGCTCAAACCAAACTGATTCTGCTGTAATACTCATGTTGTAGTATTTTTTTATCATGCTGGAGAACTTTGATTGATCTAGTGGGCTCAAACCATACTGATTTTTAGAGTATACTCCATGTTACTTCCATTTTAGAGCACATTCTTGGAGTGGATCTGCATTTCAGAAAGTTAACAAGTGGGAGTACATGGAGTACTACATTTTAAGTCGAGGAGAAGATGGTGCCTGCTCCGTGATGATGCCACCAGCACCTACGACTTCCTCGACCACCACCACCATGATGACGACTTCCTCGAACGTGGTGAGTACTCCTCCAATGCTTGTACTCTTATCAATGTTTACTGCTGTGATCATGGAGTAGTTAGCTGTTGTTATCATGGCAGGAGTAATGCACCATTAGTTGGTAAGAAATAATGTCAGTATGAAACCTCTCGACAGTAACTGTTTTTTTTTGTGAGGAATAGTACATGGTTTCAACTTTATTTGCCCCATTCCAAGTTCTGAAATCATTACCAAATCATACGAAGCATGATAACAATGTTCAAGCTGATTTGGTGAATCCGTAGATTACATCTTACTGTGTGTTCCCAAAATATTCAGCATTGCAAAACAAAGAAATATTAAATACAAGTTTCACTATGGATGATAGTGTGAAAAAATATATCATATTTTCTTTTTCCTGGGAGCATCATGGACCAACTTGTCAATGTAACCTCGGTTGTATACTACATCTACATCCCTGTCAATGAACATGTGCACTATTGAACTATCTATGCATCTACATCTCTATGAAGATACATATACTACTGCATCTTGGATGAATACTATTGTCAGTTTACTCGCACGAGCCATTCAACGAAAGTAGTCTCTCAGTTCTAGTGTACCTAGATGTACGATGAAACGAATTTGTGAACCAAAGCAATTTGAGTTGACAACCGGACAGAGGAAGCGGGCAAGAGATGATTTATTTATGGGCGATGATGATTTGCTACAAATACATATACTGCTACCTTCCATGCATGTCAGCATCTGATGCTACCACTTGATTACCTGAAGATTGAAGAACCACCCCCTGCCATTAACAAATCATTTCATATAAACTACTGTACCTAGCAATGTAAAAAATACAAAAAGGGTAAAATCACTAAGTTGTCATAGAAAAAATGGCACATTCCTGGCCGTCCTGCATGTTTTGGCTTCAATTTCCCTCGCCTTGCATGTCACTGCGTCCTTAAGAAAAACAAACACATTGATAATTATAATTAAGAACTTTGCCTACAACAAAACAAAACCAGTAGAAACTCATCGCTTTCATTGTCTTCAAGACCCTCATTGTCCTCTAATAATATAGTTTGAGAGAAGTCCACATTACCCCTCGAACTTGTCTTTGGCTTCACTTTACAAACCTCAGAATTGTGTTCGTTCAAGTTTCATCCTTCAACTTTATAAGCCGTTCATAATTATAAGGGGTCTGCTTCAGTATACCCAACCTTCTCTTATTTTATTTATTAGAACATGCCGATGTTACATTATTCTGAACTTCCCATCTTATTTATTAGAACATGCCGATGCCACTGAAAATTATGATTACTATATCCGCACAGCCTCATACCTGGACTACTTGGGTAATTCTCATCAACATTTCGTATGAAAGGCGCATCAAGCCCTACCTGATTCCCCTCGCACGTATGATCAGAACCTACAGGGAAGGGATCAACAAAAAAGCCGTAAGCTGTATACAGAAACAAAGATGAACACCCATAAGCATAAACTGTTTCGTATGAAAGGCACATCGGGTAGTACCATTTGAATTTCCTGGTACATATGCGCCATAAACATGTGTGAGATTACTCGCTGCCGGCAACGAAGCAGCTTGATGCACACCCACCCGTAGCAAACTTGTTCCGTCTGATTTGTTCTTGCCTGGATCAATACAAAGCCAATGATATATAGGCAACAAAGTATGCAGGCAACATTCTCAGCATTGAGTAACTATATCGTCAACATTTTCCTTTTCCCTTTTATCCTCAGCTACCTAAATACCCAGATAGAACTCTGCTTGCCCAACAGCTCCACATGCTCTGACTTCTTCTGTCTTTTTAGCTTCTCCTTGTTCCTCCAGCTCTCGGCTTCTCAGCTTCTAAGATCTTTCTTTCATCTGTACATCATCACATGTGCGCTATAGGTGTGCCTAAAGATGCATTTTATTGCCACTAACAAAATGGTGAGCTATTCTAAAAAAAGGCACACCATGATAATTAAGGTAAAACAAGGTTGAGTCTCATGGGCAGTACTACAGACAAATAGGAGTCCTTGTTTCCTGTAAGAGGTTCATATGAAAAGTTAAGGCAATGATAATTAGTAAGACTGACGCTCCGAATTAAAGCCGATTGGATGAGGTAATTCGTCAAAGAAGTACAATGCAAAGCTGAAACAATGCAAGTGAATTAAAAGAGGGGCTGATGGAAATTGAGCTTCAAGTGGCGACATCCTTCGTGGCATATGTAATACAACCAATTCAGTTCAAATATGTATTTATTATGTTAGCATGAAGGGTAAAAAGAAAGGGGACAAACTAATCTTATGTTTAAGCATACAAAAAAAGTAAAATCTAAATAGTGATGTGATCACTTCCTTTTAAACAGCTGTTACGATCAGGTCAGAAGATTGAAAAACTATAATATTTATAACAATGGAATAGAGGGGCTACTACATTACACACTTATGTTTCTACTCATTCAGTTGAGAAAATCCATGATGCACAAAACAAGATCAGTTTCATCCATCTGATTGTTAATGACCACAAAATGACATGATACAAAAGAAAATAGCATGTGCATTTAATAGAAAGTGCTTGTGCATTGCTACTGGCAATAATGGAGATAACTGAATACCATGTGAATTTAACGCAAAATGAAGGTTCCAACCAAAGATTCAAAATACCCATCACCTCCATGACATGATAATTTAGAATGACATATGAGTGAACATCACCAAAAGGAGGACCTCCTATGGTGTAGGAGGCTTAAATCTGATATATCAAGATCAAAGTCTTCTCACCATAATGGAGATAACTGAATACCATGTGCATTTAATAACACAAAATGAAGGTTCCGACCAAAGATTCGAAATAACGAGAACCTCCATGACATGATAATTTAAAATAACATATGTGAATGTATTTGTACTGTAAAGTTATTCAATGTGCCATGTGATAGGAAAGAGAGAAAATATGCCTAGGTAGGTTCTTACTACAATTGTTGCTCCTGCTACTAATTACCAGTCACTTCAATCAATAGCTAAAAAGTATTTTAACTTTTTCTCTGCCCTAAAAAGTATTTTAATGTTTTTCTCTGCCCCTGCTCTTGGATTTGATTGCAGACTTGATTAGCCTTACCGAATCTTAGAGTTGCTTCGCCAAGGCGTGTCGTTTTTCGCCTTCCCATTGCATTCAACAAAATATTTTCCTATCACTCCCTTTAGCTGATGGTTCATCCCCACATAAGATGTACCTGATGCTCCCTGGAAAACCACATTTGTGTATCTTCTGTTACATACATGAGATTCTCTAATGCGTGTTTAGGCAGGAGCTAGCAAATTAGGAATGAAACATACAAGCCTAGTGAACACTGGATTCACGCACAACCACAGGAAATCCCTCCAAACTAAACTAACATGTGAATCCTGCTTCAGCAAGGCAGGTGAGGAGGAGGGTTACCAGAGGCTGGAGGAAAATGAGAGCAGGGACTGCCCGCCGAGCATCCCCAGCCGGTAGCAAGGGACAAGGGAGCAGTAGGCAGTACGTACCTCCATTATTAGAGTTAAATGTCATGTCTGGACTGACCTTTCCTTCTTCCTGGGCAGCCAACACTTTGTAGTTGGAAATAGTATCAGTTTACACTCCTGATGAAGTGGTAAAAATACATAATTGAGAAATAGATTTACCCTGATAATTGCTTGCACTGCACACTTCCTTACATTTGAATTTGCAGATGATTCTTCAAATGGGAGATGTTCCAAAATTTAGTGATTACCTGATGTTTCAAATGATGATCAGGATGATTGACAAGGAAGAAATGTTCCACAGGCTTGCTAACTGATTCATCGGGGTTTGGTGGTATGTTCCGTACAAGAACCTACAATAAAAACACATTGATGACTCAGAATCAAAAGAATAATCAGAGAACCATTAATCTAGATAAGATCATTGTTGTATGCAGCATTCTTTTTTCTAGCAAAGGGATCTAAACTGAGCTCATGTATAAGTTGCAACCACAAAGGGATCCCATGGCCTCAATCCTCATCTCCGTCTCTCTATCCTGATCTGATTCTCTCCGTCTTGAACCAAATAGAGAAAAGAGGGGAGATGAACCTGAGGGAGGAAGGCGATCGCATGGTGGCGAACGCAGGAGGAACCGGAGGACGGGAGCACGGTGGTTGATGCCTAGGGTTTAGCGCAGGTCGTGGCGGCGTCTCCTCTGGGAGGTCGGCGGCGTGCGAAGGCGAAGGCGTACCTCAGCAGAGGTGTCCAGATGGCGACCCAGAGGTCCACAACGATGGCGGCGGCGCCTCCTTTGGGACCTCGACGACGGCGCCTCCACGACCCCTCGGAGCCGGCAAAGGGATCCGCGGCTAGCGCCTGGGATCTGCCAGGCGGCGGCGTTCGCGTCGCGAATAGATCCAGGGGTCGTCGCTCCTTCACCTCGTACGTGCGGGCGATAGGTTTAGGTTTTTTTGTCGCTGGTCAATTTTCGTAGGTCTTTTTTCGTTGGTTAAGTCTTTTTTCAGTCGTACGTGCATGGGTGCGGGTTGGGGTCTTAGCACGAGGTTTTTTCGGTTTGTGGTGGCTAAGTCAGAGGTGGGAGGAGGTATAAAAAAACCATAAGAGGTGGGACTAAAAAAACCTGGAAGCGAGACTACCAACTGCTCCATTAGGAGTAGATATCTCGGCCCGACCCTTTGGTCCCGGGCTGGGCGGTTGGTCCGTCGACGGCCCGCAAAAAAGGAAACTCTGATGCAGTATAATTTTGCAGTACAGTCCATGACTTCAATTTTTTTTAACAGTTTAGGCCCTGGACACTGTTTGGAATCTGTGAAAAGAACGCAACAGGAGAACTTTTTGAAGCAAAAGAGGCATCGGCTAATGTGGTTTTCTCCCTGAGTAGGGACAAGGTTAAGGCCTTCAGGGCTGCTTGGCGCGAGGGATACCCCTGGTTTTTCTTGTTTCTTTCTTCTTCTTAATTACCTTTATCATGTGCAAATCTTCTATGTTCCAGCTCTTTCTGCAGGCTACTTTAGCTGTTCTTTTTCTGAAGCTAAGCATGTTGTGAGAAAGATAGCAAGAAACATGAAAGTCCAATTCAGAGACGAGCTATGCAGATAGAAATTCATGTGTCACGTTCTTTGAATTTTGCTGTAACTTACACGATGATAGCGAACCATTTTGTGGTGGTTACGTTCATCCTCAATCTCAAGCTCTTTAAGCGTATTTCTTTGGATCTTTGCATGCTTGCTTGTCATGGTTTACTTACGCGGATGTCATTCATAGTAGGACCATTTGTTGAAATTAGCATTGGTTGAGACGCGTGTTGCACCTGCAAACTTACTAGTTATGTAAATCGTGTTATATGGCGTTTTTTCGGTATACCAACTATCTGTTTCAAACACGCATCAAATCTGGCAGAAAAATGATAATCAGCTGGCGGTTTGGGTACACGACGATGTATCGATCCTGACCGGGTCAGCTGATGCAGGCTGGAGTGGCCCATACGTGTGTGCAGACCGGCACACGCACCCCCGGCCACGCGACCGGACGACCAATCAGCGAACCAACCAATCAACGAGCGAGCGAGGGAAGCGCGTCTGCGGTCTACGCCCGCCCAGCCCGCCCGTGCTGGCTGGCTGGCAGGGGGAACGTCCCGCGCCGCAGATCGCTCCGTTTTGCCTCCCACGGCCAACAAAGACCGAGCGCAAAACGCCGTCCACCCCCTCCCCCGGGCGGGCCGCGCGTGGGCGGAGCCGAGGAGAGTGGCGACAAGCGAAACCGCGTGGCGTCCACCCCTGCGCCGTGCGGCTGGTGTGGACGCGCGGGTCGGTGGCGAAGCAAGGAGGTCCGACTCACACGGCGCGAATTTTTCTCCGTCTCCCCCCGGCCCGTGCGCTGCTGCACTCCCGAGTCAAACATGGCCAGCCCAGCTCACTCGAGTGCCCGTCCATCTTCGGCAATGATGCCCGCCGCGCATGAGCGCGACGCGGCCAGCCAGGCTACCTACGATGCGTGTCGCTGTCTTCGTTTCGGCCAAAGCCTCCGTCCGTCCAGGCCGTCGCCGATCGTCATCCGTCCGTCCGTCCATCGAGCCGAACCTTCCGATCCAAACGAACCCGGGCAGATAGGCAGGCAACAGAGATCGCCGCAGGGAGGCGGCCCTTCCCGCCCCGCCCTGCTCGTCGATCGTTACGCGTCGCCATCCAAGGGCCATGTGCGGTCTTGGATTTTGTTCGGATTTTCGCACGCATGAACCAACCAACGATGAGGCATACCAATCACGTTGGTTAGTTGCCGATTTAATTAGGCGGCACTTGACACTGATTCTGCTCGCAATTTGGCGGGCCGGTGGGTGGCTCGTGTCGTGCTGAGCTGATTGATTCATCAGGAGGGCACCTGGAATTAGGGGCATGTCTGCCCTTTGTTTTGCAACTTGTACTCCTCCTCGACCTCCTTGGGTAGGTTAGGTCCATGTCCAACCACAGCAACCTACTGTAGCTAGCTAAGTAGCTATGTACATACCCTGTGTTGCAAGCAACCAGCCTAACACACGCACCGCCTCTTTAATTCCCCGTCTTCTTTTCTTGTCTCACATTCATCGTGTGGTCACTTTCATCATGGCAACGCGGTTTGTGATAAAGATGGCCATGCTTGGTTTTGGTTAATTTTGGCTCGCGACATCGAATCTCAAGTCTTACAGACGTTTAATTACGACGATGCTAGGGGCACATCGCTGTAATGTATCAAGTTCAAGTACATATCACCGAAAAAAAAGTATAGACAAAAATGGCGAGTTTAGTGATGTCTTTTTTTTCTCTTTGTGAATGCTGCGTATTTGAATTTTTTTTTGAAGGGAAAGCCTCATGGCACTTTATTCATCTCTTGGCAAGGTTACATCAGATAGTACATGCGATAACAAAAAGTTTGGTGCTTCATCCACCCACTCAAAACTACTACCTTGCTCATAGCTATATCTAGCTAAAAAATGTGCCAGATTGTTGGCTTCCCGCGGGCAATGCTGGAAAGAAATCGAAGGAATTCCATGTGCTAAATCAAAGCAATCGATCAGAAATAGGCGTGTAGGAGCTCCAGATGTCCGACTCACCCTTGAACGCCTCAACGAGCTCCAGGCAATCTGATTCCACAGCGACTCTAGAGCAGCCTCGATCAAATAGCATCTTGAGACCTCGTTTGACAGCAAGAGCCTCCGTTGTTTGTGCATTCATCACATTCTGGAAGGGTTCAGCTACACCAGATAATGCCTCACCCTTGCAGTTTCTAAGAACAGCCGCGATTGCTCCACTCCCATCCTCAAAAAAAAAAAGCATCAGTGTTGAGTTTGTAGTTTCCCGGCGAAGGCTTCTCCCACCTTGCTGTGGGTAACACTACTTTGGCCGGTTTCTCATGATTGATAGTAATCGCCTAGATAGCAAAAGCAGTGTGTACCGCGCTCTTTATATGAGTCCCCTTCACCGCTTCCCGTCGTTCGTATCAGATATACCAAGCTGCCACGGTGATCGTCTCCTGCAGTCCTAGCTGACCGAGGACTGGGGACTTCTTTAACGGGTTCGTGAGTAGTTCTTCTAACACCACCGAGCCCGATCGATCCACACAAAGCGCCAAGTTAATATCCTCTAACAGACCAAGTTTTCCCCACACCTCTTTTGCACGTGTACAAGTGAAGATCAGGT